CCCGAATCCACAGCCCTGCGGCGCATGGGACACTTCGCCATGCTCAGCTCTCCGCACCCCAACGAGGCATTGTTAGGATGCGGTGACGAGATGTTAACCGCTTCGCCTGGTATACAGGAGGTCGTGGGTTCGATCCCGACCCTGACGCCTGCTGCTGTATATTTCGAGTTTGCGTGTCTCTCTCCCCGTGGCCGCGTGGATTTTTCTCCGGGTACTGTGGTCTTTCCCTCCACATTTAGAATCAACATCACGCTATACAGTTCCGCACGATAAGCCACTTCTTTGAGCTGTCGTTTGCGGCCAGGTCACTTCTGAAAGAGCTACGTAGCTCTGTGGGCCTTACCTGGTAAAATAAAAAAGTGTTTACTTTAGTTTTTTTTAATATGTCGGGGATGGGGGGGCTGCTCGCTAAGGCCAGCGCAGTCAAAGTCCCCGTCCCCCACCGCCAGTCTGTTGCCTGCGCAGCAGCAGCAGCATTCTCAACATGAGCTTCCTCTCTCTCTCTCTCTGTGCTCGCTCTCTCTTTGCTTGGCTCGAGGGCTCACTTGCGTAGCGGCCGTACGGTTGGCAGCGATCGGAGATGCCTGTGCATGCGAGCTCATTAAAATATCACCCCCCCCCCCACCCGTGCCCGCGCCCCCCTCATCCCTCCCACCGTCCCTCGGAACGGGACGAGCGGAGGGGAGGAGGGACGGCTGCAATCCGTGACCGCGGGCACCGCTGTGCACTGTCCGCATCTTCATCGTCAACGTTCTGACCGCCGCCGCCACCGCCGGTGTGCATCGTCGCGTGGATCGTCGTCGTCATTATCTGCGCCATCACTATCCGCATCGCCTCCACCATGCTAATCGCGCCTCCGATTAGCACGGTTGGCTACGTACGGTTCAGAAGAAGTTCAACGTACATACCTACATTCCCATCATCATCATCACCTGCAGTACCATCATCACACTCATTATCATTTTGACCACCAACAACCACACTGCCTTGCATGCAAAAGCCTCAATAGTTATCATTATTAACATCATCGTTTCTGCGTAACCATGACTATCACGTCATCATTATCTGCAATATCATTATCTGTATCATCACCATCATCACCGCTTGAATCATTATCAACATTATTACCAGCAGCATCATCTGAATCGTCATCTGTACCAGGGCGACTTGTTTAAGCCGGTAAAAAGGCACACGAGCGCATCAACACACGCGCGCTCACACACCAACACACGCACGTGCACAAAGACAAAAGCCTTAACAGACTGATGGGGCAAGTGCTGTTAGCGAGCACCTATGAAGGCCGGCACGGCACACGAGGGGGTGGGTGCCCAACACCACGGCCGACCGCCTTTGTCTCCCCAGTTGCGATGTCTACACACCGCATCGGGTACTCATTTGAGGCCGAGTCGACCTAGAGGAGGCCCAGGACCGGTTCAGATAATGGTCACTGGCGTTGGCTGTAAGCGGGAATCCAACTCAGGTCGCACGGTTCGCGGCGCAGCGCGCTAACTGCTACACTACAGCTACACTACACGCGCAGACAAACACGCGCACTCACACACGCGCACTCACACACGCGCGCTCACACACGCGCGCTCACACACGCGCACTCACACACGCGCACTCACACACTCACACACGCGCACTCACACACGCGCACTCACACACGCGCGCTCACACACTCACACACGCGCACTCACACACGCGCACTCACACACGCGCACTCACACACGCGCACTCACACACGCGCACTCACACACGCGCACTCACACACGCGTGGACAAACACGCGCACTCACACACGTGCACACACACACGCGCGCGTGCGAATTGCGTAACGGCATGTGCACGTGCCCGCACACACGCAAAACAACAGCCTCGCCTACAGCCTTCAATAGGCTGGTGAGCGAGCAGCAGTGGGGGGGGGGGGGGGGGGTTGGCCAGGACGACACCCCCAGGCCCACCTTTATCTCCGCCCCCCCCCACCTCGTGCCGAATGTTTATAGAGTGCCACACCGGGTGCTAGGCGAGGGCGCAGCTCCGGTTCAGATAATCCTCAAGGATGTTAGCCGTGGCCCGGTATCAAACCCGCGTCGACGGGTTCGTGGCCACCACCGTCGCGACACCGCTGCGGCCGAATCGATTTCACTGGACAGCACGAACGTACACACGCGCACGCTCCCACGCGTGCCCTTCCATCTCTGCGGTTCAAGGTTACGCTTCCAGGAGACACCTACCCCGACCGGCGGCAAGGGGGGCGCCAGTGAGATCCCCCATCTCTATCTGCTCGGGCTGTGCAAGATCCTTTTGTCAGGCTCCGCCAAGGGAAAACCTACACGGACTGCCACTCCCTCCCTCTCTCTCTCTCTCTCCTCCCCCACCCACCACCTCCTCTAACCCCCCCCTCCCTTCTCTCCCCCCCAAACCCTCACCCCCACAACCTCCCCGACAACGGCCACGTTAAATTGAAGCCTCGAGCAACAGGGTCTGAAATTGCATTCGGAGGAGGAGGCGGGCAGGCGGGCGGGCGGGCGGGCGATGCTCCATTGTCACATTGCCGAGACGTAACGCGGGCGACGCGGAGGTCTCGCTAAACGCCCATTTGCCTTCTCCAGGTTAATTTTTTTGTGTTTGTGCTTTGAGTTTTTTTTTCGTTATTCTCTTTCAGCGAATGGCTCCGAGCGATCCAATTAAACAAATTCTCTACACGGCTTAAATGTCTTCGGCGAGGTTTCCATTCCCCCCCCCCCCCCCCCCATCTGTCGCCCGGTGACGATCGGCCTCCCGGATAAATGTGTACACACGGCTAAAACAAAGACCGCCCCCCCCCCCGCTAATCACCGCATAGCCTTAACGGACTGCTGGGGCACGTGCTGTTAGCGAGCGCCTACGAAAGGCCGGCAAGGCAGCACACGAGGGGGTGGTGTGGTCACGGCACCACGCCCCCCGGACGTCTTTGTCTCCCCACTGCCGATGCCTACACAGTGCGCCGGGTGTTCGTTTTTAAGGTTGAGGCGACCTAGGGGAGCCTCAGGAACCGACTGGAATATTCGCCAAACGTTGTCGATCGTGCGCAGGAATCGAACTCGAGTCGCAGAGTCGGTAGCGCGGCGGGCTAACCCGCTGCACTGCCGCTCCCGCCTGACACACACACACACGCAACTTTACACGCACCTACACACAAAACAAAGATCCCCCGTATAGCATTCACAACAGTCCCATGATGTAGCTGCTCACCCCGAGCTCTCATTACTCTGATAGTGGCGTTGTCTTTGTGCCGTGTACGCCTTTTGGCGTCCTCTGGTCTAACACCGGCTCTAAAGAAAGCCGTCTATGGTGTGGACCAATCAGTTTCAAAGACAATGCATCATACGTTATTATCAATAATAATAGCATTGTTTGAGACGAAGCTCTAAAGAAAGCTGTCTCTGGTGTGGACCAATGAGTTGCAAGGACAATGCATTTATTATCAGAGTATGTTTTTTGTTTCCATTCTGACCACAAGTATTGTGGTTAATGCAGACATGATTCCTTGTAAAAGTTTTCAGTTTGGTGTTTTAACATCTTAACACAGCTGTTTTGTTGCCAGTAAAAAGGGGAAAACCTATTCTCACAAACAATTATTATTTTACCAGGCAAGGCCCACTGAGCTGTATAGCTCATTTTCAGAAGCGACATGGCCACAAATGAGTGCTCAACGAAGTGGCTTATCACCACGTGGAAATTTATGGCAGCCAAATACTCTTAAACGCGTGATGTTTATTCTAAAATGTGGAGGAGAAAACCCGGAGGACCCGGAGAAAAAATCCACGTGACCACGGGGAGAGAGACACGCAAACTCCAAATATACAGCAGGCGTCAGGGTCGGGATCGAACCCACGACCTCCTGTATACCAGGCGAGGTAGTTAACATCTCCTAGCCACTGTGGTGATGATGAGAGAGACACGCAAACTCCAAATATACAGCAGGCGTCAGGGTCGGGATCGAACCCACGACCTCCTGCATACCAAGCGAGGTAGTTAACATCTCCTAGCCACCGCACCCTAACGGTGTCTCGCCACCATGACGCAGACGATTGCGCGTACTTGCTGACGCACAAATGAAAATGTAAAAAATCTATCTGCCACCGCCCAGAAGAGAACCCAAGGAACACATACAGACCCCTTGCCCGATTCACACACACACAAAGGAGCAATCATCAGAGCGATACTCCACTCCGGAATTCCCAACGCAATCTAGCTCAACGACTCCCGATGTGAAATTGCAGTTGTTGCTTCACATCAACGTCAGCCACCGGACGCTCGCTCCGCTAGACCCGTCCTCGATCTAACACGGCCACCGCTACGGTGCAACGCGTGCCGACTCGCAGAGTACCGGGCGCCACGGTGGCTAGGAGATGTTAACGACCTCGCCCGGTGTACAGGAGGTCGTGGGTTCCATCCCGACCCTGACGCCTGCTGTATATTTGGAGTTTGCGTGTCTCTCTCATCATCATCATCACGGTGGCGAGGAGATGTTAACTACCTCGCCTGGTATACAGGAGGTCGTGGTTTCGATCCCGACCCTGACGCCTGCTGTATATTTGGAGTTTGCGTGTCTCTCTCTCTCCCCGCGGTCCCATGGATTTTTCTCCGATCCTCCGGTTTTTCCCTCCACATTTAGAATCAATGTGCATTTCGAGTATTTGGCCGCTATACATTCCCACGTGCTAAGCCACTTCCGTTGAGCTATCATTTGTGGCCAGGTCGCTTCTGAAAAAGAGCTACATAGCTCAGTGGAGCCTTACCTGGTAAAAAAAAAAAAATTGTTTAGTTTAGTTTGACTGGTGGCGTGTGGTGGAGCCGGCGGTGTTGGGACCGGCGTGGTGAGACCGACGTGGTGAGACTGGCGTGGTGCGACCGGCGTGCTGGGACCGGCGTGGTGCGACCGGCATGGTGCGACCGGCGTGGTGGGAGCGGCATGGTGCGACCGGCGTGGTGGGACCGGTGTCACCGTCTTACCGTATCGGGCGCCGGCGCCCATCCCCAGCAGCTCCGACAGCGTTTGGCCTCCCGCGTCCTCATCCTCGTCATCGTCGTCCTCGTTATGCTCATCGTCGTCGTCGTCCACCTCGTCCCACGTGTCGTCCAGCTCCTCCCCGCCTGCTGCCAGTGACCACACACACGGAGACATTCAAACGGCCGTTGTCCGTGCCGTCGTCACGATCGCCATCTTCGTCGTCGTCGTCATCATCGTCATCATCATCTTCATCACTGGCATCACCATTGTCGTCATCTTCACCTGGATTACCATCAGCTGAATCATCATAGTTATAACCTGGATTGTCATCATGTACATAGTCATAACCCAAATCATCATCATAAGCTGCACCACCATCGTCATCATAATAACCACCAATACCAATACCTGCCATTTGCCACGAGATGGTGACGTCACCACGTCGCCTGTGCCAGGCCAGGTGCACTTTGAGGCCACGTGAAGTGTCGAAGGCTCGCTGACAGGTCACGGGACAGACCCAGGTGCCATGGGTTGGCTGACTGAGATGACTGGTAGATGCACCAGCTGTACCCCCCACTGTGCCAACTTACCACCAACCACACCACCACAAACATTATCATTAGAATGATCACCAATTCAATCATTATTATTTTCTGGACCATCATAACCTGCATCATTATCATCACCATGTGCAGTATCACCTGAATAATCATCATGGACTTTATCCACCTCATTTACCAGTTGCAATAATTGACCCTTATCTGCAACATCATGTAGCATATTACGAAGCACCGATTTACATCTATTGTATGCTAACGATACACATGCATTAATTGTAAGCGTGAAGATAGCTTGTGTTTCTACGTGTGTTACATTTTGTGTGATTGGGGTACGTGCCTCCTGCAACCCTGAATTGTGACAATGTATTGAATGATGAGGAACGAAAATTGTAATCATCGTCATTATTATATTCACCTCTAGTCATCATCAATATCTTCACGATAATTAACTGCAACAGCAATGCATTATCTAAATCACCAAAATCATCCTCCTCATTATCATCGTCACGACCAACACCTTCACAATCAGAAACACAACTTGCCGCCATCACCACCAATACCACCAAAACCACCACCACAATCTCCCCCATCATCACCACCATCAACATAATCACTATCATCATCATCAACAACAACCGCCATTCGCCACAGCACTTGTGCCAGGCAAGATGCGTGCTGAGGCCAGGCCACGTGAAGTGTGGAAGGCTCACTGATGGCAGGTCAGAGGACAGACGCAGGTGTTATGGGTTAACCAATAACATCATCACCACCACCACCACCAAAAACAAAGATTCCCCGTGTAGCCTTTAACAGACTGTTGGGGCAAGTGCTGTTGGCGAGTAGCACCGATGAAGGCGGGCACAGCACACGAGGGGGGTGGGTGGCCAGCATCACGCCCGACCGCCTTTGTCTCCCCCAGTGGCGATGTGTTTACAGAATGCAACGGGTACTCATTTGAGGCTGAGTCGACCCAGGGGAGGCTCAGAAGCCGATTCAGATAATCGTCACTGGTGTTGGCCGTGAGCGGGAATCGAACTTGCGTCAACGGGTTCGTAGCGCGGCGCGCTAACCACTACACCACCGCTCCCCACACCACAACCACCACCACAATCACCATCGTCGTCACCACCGTCGCCGACGTATCCACCACGACGCTCACACGCCACACAGCCGCGTCTCACAACTGCCAGCGCACGGCTACAGGAGCACGGAGGCGTCACGGCAAAGCCAAATAAATTAGCGACCACAAACCGCTTCTCCGCTCCCCGCCTCCCGCCGACGTCCCCCCACCCCCCCACCATCCTCTATTTCGTAATCAGACCCGAGACATGACCTAAAACTAGCAACGGAAGACTTTTACACAGGGATCACTTTTATTCCCTGGCCCTCCGGTTTTTCCCTCTACATTATTTAGAAACAAGCGTTTCGATTTCTTTCGATTAAGCGGCTGCTATACATTTCCACAGGATAAGCCACTCCGTTGAGCTATCATTGTGGCCGAGTAGCTTCTGAAAAAGAAGCTTACATCTCAAATGAGAGGGCTTTGCCTGCTAAAATAGTTTTGCTGTATTTGCTTACCTTTCCTACACTTAGCAACTGCTATCGTGTTTTCGCATTGTTTGTTGTTGTAACATTCTGACCCCGTGCCCTGCCTGTAAATCTGTGAGAGAGAAAATAAAGAGCTTCATAGCTCAATCAGATTCCTCCTGTATAAATAAAATCCTGATATTTTTTTTATTCGTAAAAATTCTACTCCTGCAGCAGGAAACCCGCGAGGGGGGGGGGGGGAGGTGGCGTGAGAAGCGCGGCGGAGCGGACGACGCAGCGGCGAGTCTCCCGAAGTCGCGATCTCGGGAGGGGGGGCGAGGGGGCGAGGGAGAAGGGCGGTGGTGGGCCAGTCGCACGGTGGCGGCGGCGGCGGTGCTGAGCGATGAGCCCTGACAGGGCGCGGGCTCCCCCCTCCTCTTGCCCCGTTGCTCAGTCACGGCTCTAACGTGCCTGTCGCTCGGCTCGCCCGTCCAATCACCCGCTCATTAGGGGCAAATTCATCCTCATCACGCGGGCGGCCGTTACGTCACCGGCGCCGATAGTCGTCCGAAAGCGAGGACGCGCATTAATACCATGCAGTCATCGTCGTCGTCGTCAGCCACTGTCTGTCAATCCCTATGATGAAGGCGTCCCGCAAGCCGTCGCCACCTCTAACGGTTCTGCGGTGCATTCGCGCTCAGCTAGCGGCCGCGCGCGAGTTGATTTCACCACTCCATCTCCTTGGCGGACGTCCGCTCCACCGGCCACCGGCTCCGTCGTTATTCCTGCACGCCCGACATCGTCGCCTTCCGGCTCCGTGTCCTGCCCAAGCCAGCTCGCTCACTCGCTCGCTCGTCTTAGCGGACAACGTGATGTCCCCAACCTGTGCGTGTTCCTCTAACCCCAGTGTGCTAACATCTCGCCGTGGTAGCAAGATGATAACTACCTCGCCTGGTACACACACAGGAGTTCGTGAATTTGATCCCGACCCTCACGACGCCTGCTGTATTTTTGGAGTTTGCGTGTCATTTTCCCCGTGGTCGTGTGAATTTTTCTACGGTGTCCACCGGTTTTTCCGTCCACATTTAGAATCGTGCGTTTCGAGTATTTGGCTGCTGTAACTTTCCGCATGATAAGCATTGGGGCCATCATTTGCGATCGCCAGGTCGCTGCTGAAAAAGAGACATATAGCTCAGTGGTGCATTACCTAATCAAATAAAATAGTGCTCCCGCTTTCCGTCTCCCCACGCAATTGCAAGCAACGTCACGAAGCCGCCACCCGTGCACAGAATTCCAGGGCGCTTCACAACAGAAACAACGACAAAAATGACCCCACCTCGAAAAATCCACCGCCGAATGAATCCGCGTCAGCAAAGTAGGCCAACCAGAACCGACGCAATTTAAAATACGATTCAAATGGCCGACAGTGGCGGCCGCTATCCTGGCCTGCCTTCGAAAGAAGAGTTGCAGAGGCAGTGGGGCCCAAACAACTCCAGGGTGTCAGCAACCCCACCGGCCGCAACACGAAGGCAGACGGCTTATCGGAACCACAGCAGGTCCAGCCTTCGCCGATCTGCAGGTGCGAGCAACGGGTTTTCCTCCCGCACGCGACCGCTCGCTCACTGGCCGATACAGCACCTTCACACACGTCACAGGACCACAGGGCTCGCTCGCTCGGGCAATCGTTGGCGCCGGCTTACCGCCTGGGACCGCCGTGCCGCTCATCAGTCGCGTTCTCTCTCCCCGAGAGCGAGCGAATGAGCGAGCACTGTGTGCGACGCCCGTGGCGGCGTGTCACGTGTCAAAGTTCGTTCGCTCGTTTCTCACAGTGCGGCTGTCCTGGCGAGGGTCGCGGCGGCAGCGTGTCGAGTAGTGACGGTCCAGACCTCGCTTTCCCTGGCAACTACATTATTATACACTACTACACTATACACTACTACACTATACACTACTACACTATACACTACTATACACTACTACACTATACACTACTACACTATACACTACTACTATACACTACTACACTATACACTACTACAGTGAGGGAAATAAGTATTTGATCCCCTGCTGATTTTGTACGTTTGCCCACTGACAAAGAAATTATCAGCCTATAATTTTAATGGTAGGTTTATTTGAACAGTGAGAGACAGAATAACAACAACAAAATCCAGAAAAACGCATGTCAAAAATGTTATAAATTGATTTGCATTTTAATGAGGGAAATAAGCATTTGAACCCCTCTCAATCAGAAAGATTTCTGGCTCCCAGGTGTCTTTTATACAGGTAACGAGCTGAGATTAGGAGCACACTCTTAAAGGGAGTGCTCCTAATCTCAGCTTGTTACCTGTATAAAAGACACCTGTCCACAGAAGTAATCAATCAATCAAATTCCAAACTTTCCACCATGGCCAAGACCAAAGAGCTCTCCAAGGATGTCAGGGACAAGATTGTAGACCTACACAAGACTGGAATGGGCTACAAGACCATTGCCAAGCAGCTTGGCAAGAAGATGACAACAGTTGGTGCGATTATTTGCAAATGGAAGAAACACAAAGGAACTGTCAATCTCCCTCGGCCTGGGGCTCCATGCAAGATCTCACCTCGTGGAGTTGCAATGATCATGAGAACGGTGAGGAATCAGCCCAGAACTACACGGGAGGATCTTGTCAATGATCTCAAGGCAGCTGGGACCATAGTCACCAAGAAAACAATTGGTAACACACTACGCCGTGAAGGACTGAAATCCTGCAGCGCCCGCAAGGTCCCCCTGCTCAAGAAAGCACATATACATGCCCGTCTGATGTTTGTCAATGAACATCTGAATGATTCAGAGGACAACTGGGTGAAAGTGTTGTGGTCAGATGAGACCAAAATGGAGCTCTTTGGCATCAACTCAACTCGCCATGTTTGGAGGAGGAGGAATGCTGCCTATGACCCCAAGAACACCATCCCCACCGTCAAATATGGAGGTGGAAACAATATGCTTTGGGGGTGTTTTTCTGCTAAGGAGACAGGACAACTTCACCGCATCAAAGGGACGATGGACGGGGCTATGTACC